GATTCCGGGCCCTCTTTCAGCTTCGAGTCCTCTGCATCAGTGTCCTATGCCAACGGAGTCTATACGATCACCAACGGCGGCTCCTCCGTAAACCACACAGGCAGCATCTACTTCGAGGGCATCGCAGCAGGCCGCGACTCCTCCTTCAATGGTGGCTGCACCGACACCTGCCATGCCATGATGGGTGGCTTCAACCCTGCCTGCTTCGGCACCGTGCTAGTGGAGACCGGTTGCTGGACATCCCGGGGTCCCCATGGTAAAGTGTTGCAAGAAGTCTTTCCTAGATTTCAACATGACATGGGCCCTGGCCAGGACTGGCATGGACTTTCAAAGCCGAGCGACTCAGCAACTGGTGGTCGATCAGTTCGGAGAGGGTTGCCTGGGTGGAGCTGGGCGAATCCCGACACTCGCCATGATTTTGCAGGGGCACCAAGAATGATCATATCAATAAGGCTAGCTGAGGGTGTATAACCAAACACACTTACTGGCGTCTGCCCGACCACATTTGGCGGCTGATCCTGCCCCCTCATCGAGCATCTCACTGTCAAAGCCACCCCCCAAGAGCAAGTACACCTCCAAAAACCCAAGGCCAAAACCGTACAATGCCGCAAAAACACATGAACTCGACTGTAGGAACGGAGCCTTAAACACCAAAAGGAAGACTTTCAGCCCTCCCAACGCCTTCGCCTCGATTCCACTCGTGGACGTCGCCGGGCCATTGGTTGCCCCATTTTCCGGATGGGGTGGCTGTGCTTCTTGGTTTTAGGATGCTTTTTGTTTTTTTTTCGTGGGGTAAGAGGCTTCAGGTTTAGTGGCTCCAGCATTGGGGATTTGGGCTGGGGGCTGGGGGCGTCCAGCATACTGGGCATAGAAGCGGAGGGGGTGGGTCGAGGTATGTGCAGACTGGTTCCTATATGTTTTGTGTGACTGGATGTGCGGGTGTTTCTTTTCGTTTTCGAGGTGCAGGACGTGGCAAGCAAATGTTTCTGTTGTCAATGTCGTAATCGTCGTGGTGGTTTGCGCTGATTCGTCTCGTAGTATTGAGCTTGGTGCCATTGACGCCAGCAGGGGGGATGGTCCAGGTGTTGGCTCCCTTTGTAACGCTGGGGACAGTGGTGTCGTGCTGGTACAGATGCGGGTGTGTGCAAAAAGCTGAAATCTTAGTCTTACTAGCTGGAAGTAATATCTCAGTTGCGGTCCAGCGGCCCTGGTTGATGTTGTCTAAGAGTTTGCATAGGTTATAGCCTGCGAGTTGGGATGACATTGTGCAAACCCATGCGAGCCCTGAACTCAGGATGAAAATGGCGCCAACTGCGTGAACGGCGACGTCTCTGGTGGCACCATTCTTGCCTGGGACACCTCTGGTTTCGGCGACTGGCAAGGCTTCTGGAATCCGCTTCTCGGCTCGGAGCTGAAACAAGGCGATTGAAGCGCGGCTGCCGTCCTGAATGTTTGAGGAATATATGTGAAAAAAACGTAGCCTGCAAGATGAATGTAAAGCAAGGCGCTCCAACACGCAACAGGGCCAAGCAGGCCATCGTGCACCAAGCACAAAAGCAATTCCCACTGAGGTTGCTCACG